CTGGAGTGCGGTGGCGCGATCTGGGCTCACTGCAACCTCTGCCTCCTGGGTTCAGGCAATTCTCCTGCCTCAGCCTCCTGAGTAGCTGGGATTACAGGCACACGCCACCATACCCAGCTAATGTCCAGCCTTTCTTTTTTATTTATTTTTTTTTTGAGACGATCTTGGCTCACTGCAACCTCCGCCTCCCAGTTTCAAGCGATTCTCCTGCCTCAGCCTCCGGAGTAGCTGGGATTACAAGCAAGCAACACCGACGCCACACCTGGCCAATTTTTATATTACTATTATTATCATTATTATTTTTGAGACAGAATCTCATGCAGTGGCGCAGTCTCAGCTGGGACTACAGACCCACACCGCCACACCCAGCTAATTTTTTGTGTTTTTAGTAGAGATGGGTTTTCACCATTTGGCCAGGATGGTCTCGATCTCTTGATCCACCCGCCACAGCCTCCCAAAATGCTGGTATTACAGATGTGAACTACCGCGCCTGGCGTCCCTTTTATTTTCAAAAATTTTTTTTCTTTTTTGAGAGAGGGTGTCACCCAGGCTTGGAGTACAGTGGCATGACCATAGCTCATTGTAACCTCGAATTCCTGGGCTCAAGTGATCCTCCTACCTCAGCCTCCCAGGTAGCTGGGAGTACAGACGAGTGCTAGCATGCTCGACTAATTTACTTATTTTTTGTAGAGATGAGGTCTCGCTATGTTGTCCAGACTGTTCTAGAACTCCTGGCTTTAAGGGATCCTCCCAGCTTGGCCTCCAAAAGTGATGGGATTACAGGAAGAAAAATTGGGCTGGGTACAGTGGCTCACGCCTACAATCCAGCACTTTGGGAGGCCAAGGCAGGAGGATTGCTTGAGCTCAGGAATTGCAGACTAGCCTGGCCACCACAGTGAGATCTCATCTCTAATAAAAATTTAAAAAAATTATGTGGAAGACCAGGAGTGGTGGCTCATGCCTGTAATCCCAGCACTTTGGAAGGCCGAGGTGGGCGGATCATGAGATCAGGAACTTGAGACCAGCCTGACCAATATAGTGAAACCCCGTCTCTTCTAAAAATACAAAAATTAGACAGGTGTGGTGGTGCATACCTGTAATCCCAGCTACTCGGGAGGCTGAGGCAGGAGAATCACTTGAACCTGGGAGGCAGAGGTTGCACTAACCTGAGATCACACCACTGCACTCCAGCCTAGGCAACAGAGTGAGACTCTGCCTCAAAAAAAAAAATTATGCCGGGTCTGGTGGCTCATGCCTGTAATCCCAGAATTTTGGGAGGCTGAGGCAGGAAGATCGCTTGAGTCCAGGAGTTTGAGACCAGCCTGGGAAACATGGCAAAACCCTGTCTCTACAAAAAATCCAAAAATTAGCAGGGTGTAGGAGCATGCACCTATAGTCCCAGCTACTCAGGAGGCTGAGGTGGGAGGATAGTTTTAGCCTGGGAGGTCGAGGCTAAGATCATGCCACTGCACTCCAGCTTGAATGACACAGGAAGACACTGTCTCAAAAAAAAATTTA